CCCCCAAAGCCCTAAACCCTAAACTGGTTGGCTCTTACCACGGGTCCCGGACTCGGACCTGGGTTCCTACTCGGATGCCGGAGGACCGTGCAGTAACGCGTCACGTTCTTGATGACCGCCTTCCGTCCTCTCTCTGTGAGGGGCAGCATATGTCGGTATGCGCATATTTAAATTTACTAAATAAATAAATATATATATGTATATGTATATATATATATATATATAAATATGTATATATATATATATATATATATCTGTGTGTGTGTGTGTGTTTCTTATGGTCTATCATCTTATGCCATTATTCACTGCATAAGTGACTTTCCTCGGCCAGGAAGAGGTGAAGCAAACTCCGGTAACAAGAGACCTGGATCCACTTCGGGCAAGTCTTTGCTTCTTTGTTTTTGCCTTGGTTCCAAGACGCCGCAAGAAGCTGCAAGGAGAAGATGCCATGCATTAGTCGGCATTGCACTCCAGGAAATGGTGACGAGATGTGGAAGAATCGGCAGATGCAGCGGATAGTGGCTTGGCTTCAACCTTGCACAGGTCTGTCTCCGGTGCTTACGGCCGGTGGTCGGGGGAGGAGCTCGAAGCCTTTCAAAACCTCACCCCAGCTATCCAATTCTACTCGAATCAGCTGCCTGCTGAGAGTAAGCCACAAGAGCCCTAGACATCTGCTGTAGAGAACATGGAGATACAGATGTGACATGAGCGGGACAGGTTCTAGATGCGGCATAGTGCTCAGATGACCAAGAAGCGGATATGTTCTTCGATCTTAAAGAGCCCGCTTCCCCATCCTGTGCTCTATAATCCATAGGCCGAGCCAGCGATGCTTAGATTTGTTGCATCCTAGCTCTTAATGTTAAACGCTATAAGCCCTAGACCCTGAGCTGCTGCGACCAGCTGAGGAGCTGCTACTGACTCCTTTCGCACCGCGCCTGGTGGTCAGCGCCGCGGTCCGCTGCGGCGCGCACGCCCGCGCCCTGCAATTCTTGGAGGAGGATCTCATCGACCAGGTGCATATGCACCTATGTAGATACTCTATTGAACTGTAGGGGTTACGGGCTTCCTCGCTAAAGCCCAACTCCAGAGATTGCGGAACCTCAAAACTACTGAGCCTCCAAAAGCAATGAAGCATTTCTAGAGAACAAAATGGCCCGAATCAAACCTTCAGTCATACTAGGGGTCTGAGTCGGGTTGCAAGGCATCTTCGATCATATTTCCTGCATCGCTAAACGCCGGCCCCGTAGCCGAAACCCCACACCCACAGCAGAGCTGCCTTAAGGCCCTGCAGCGGCAGCAGAACATCTTCGACACCGAGGGGCCTCGCATCTCGGAGGCAGACTGCGAGCTGCTCCAGAAGATCTACAGCGAGCTAGGCGGCTGGGTCAAATGATATCGGCAGTCGGAGTGATCATGATTTCTAAGATCATCGCTACCATCTGTCACGTTCCCTTTCCACGGCTGGGAGCTGTAGCGCTTCAAGCTCAGGGTCTAAGTGCTTCATTCAAAGATTTTCGGGTGAAACACCGTTCGGGTTCTTTCGGATGTTTGAGGCTTAGCTGACGGTTCTGAGTCCAGTTTTAAGCTGCAGAGATGGGGCTTGGGCTTGGGCGGCTTGGGCTTGAGTACAGGCTGAGGCTTAGGTTCCAGGTTTACTAGTGTTGCCTTCGGCTGCCACAGCTCAGTAGGGCTTGGAGCTTTTGGCAGGGACGTTTTGATTTGAGGGTGTAGTGTGGGCTGGGCAGGGTTCCTTCAGTGACGTTGGAGCCTTCGCGCCGCCTTTCTCGTCAGTTGCCTAGATCCCCAAACAAAAAGTAATGACTCTGTCGTCCTACACCGGGTCCAAGACAAGTGAGTTAACCTTGGTAATCTGCAGAAAGCTTGCGCATAAACCGTTGCCCCTGAAGAAAAGCCGACAAGCCCTCGAGCCCGAAGCCTCAACGCCCTTCATCCCCAATCCGCAAAGGTCCAAAGTCCGCGGCCTAAAGCGATGCACCTCGAACCCGAAAAGCCCAAAGCACCCCAAACCCGATGTCAAGACAAACTCAGCCCCACCTCAAAGCCCCATATCAAGCATCTCATACCCCGACAAACCTTAAACCGCGGTCCGAGAGGCGACTCCGATGGTGTGGTTGGAGTTCTGCGGATCGGCCCTGCTAGCGCCAGGACATTTTCTCGCTGGGGAACTGCGGGAAAATTGGATGTACGGTGTTGTAAACAGGGCGGTATAAATAGGGTTCGACAGGTGGGGTTCTGCAAGGGGTTCAAAAAGGTCCATCTTGAAGGAGTCCGTGAATGATGAATAAGAATCAAGAGCTTCAGGACTCGAGGGATGTTTGGGTTTGAGGTTTGGGTTACAAAGGGTTACAAAGTTCCAAAACCCCGTGCTTCGGGAGCTGGAAATCAGAGCAGCGTCTTCAGAGCGGTATCACGGGGCAGGGCCTGAGGGGTTGAAGGTTCGCGATTTGGGGCTCGAGATGATAATTTCAGGCCTACCCCTTGTAGTAGCCCTTATATTCCTGATGAATCCTAAATGCTCCGGGCTTCTTCATCTTCAGGACACGTCGCCCCGAACTGGAACTTCAAGGGCGTTGGGCTGATGTCCAGGCCCCGACGTTGTCTCTGGGAAGGACGATGGCTCCCTTTCATGGGCTCGCTTGCTTAGGATGCAGATCTGCCCAAGGCTTAGCGAGCGCGCGGTACAGGGAGCTCGATGGGATTCGCTGGGGATCCTCCACTAGAAACTGAAAGGGGCTGCCGTTGCTACAGACGAATACTACCGTCAATCGTTGACACGGGCCTGCTACAGCTCCAAGCCCCGGACTCCGAACCCTAGGCACCAAACCGAAACTCCCGAGTCCTCCCCAAACTGCTGCTACTCCGGGGATCGTCGAAACTTACAAATTCTGAATCAATTGAAGTTAGAGCGCAAGCACTGGACGACGCTCATGACAGCTACATCCAGTCACAGGATATTATTGAGGAGCCTTATAACTCTGTCACCTGATAGTGCGTTGCAACCTATAGCCACACCGAACGGCAAGCCCTATGTTAAATGCAAGACCGGTAGGCTTGCTACGAGTTGGCCACGGAGGGCCCCGAGCGAGGGCCGGCGCTTTGTGGCCTCGTGCGCTGTACGCAGGCACTGAAAGGTGGTCGAGGGCCTTAATGGAGATTCGGTGATTCAGCTCTAGGCTGGCCGGTGGGCTTGAGGGGATGAGCGCTTGGGTTTCGGTCTCAGGGCTTTCTTAAGGTGGGGCTTAGCGGTTCAAAGGCAAGTTGAGGGGTTTTCCATATCCCCAAAGTTGAAGCCCTGGCCGACTGAGTTTAAGAAGTTGGGAGGATGCAAGCATCGCTGCCTTCCGAAAGCAACCTTACGGGAATCGCCTGTTTTCAAAGCACTCTGTAAGGGTCCGAGGTATCTCCGTGGCTCCGGACTTTGAAGGGGCTTCTTCGGTGCCCCAAAACCCCTCAGATTTGAACCCAAGCCCCCAAACTACAGTCCCAGAGGGTTGCCAGTATGGAATTAGGCTGCAAAAGATCATCCGATGGGTTTCTTGTCTGTCGTTGATTCAGATGGGGTCTGGGACGGTTTGGCATGTCCATGATGCGAGGCGATGCGCCGCTACGAGAGCTCGTTGCAGCTCATCACTGGCATCCGGCAGGACAGACGGAGCAAGATGCAATGTAGAGCTCGGGGTGGAAGCATGACAGTGTCATGTCATGCTAAGAGTAGAGTTTGTGGCTCGAGTTCATGCCTCGTTACATGCACTGCCTCCAGGAGCAGCCCGAGTTAGCACAAACGCTGCGGCCGCACGCTGTTGAGGCCGGGCAGGGCTGGGGGATTTCAAAAAGCGATGTTGGAGCAAGAACAAGAGAAATAACAAGGAAGAGGCCACGAGCAGCAGTGAAAGTGCTAGTAATAGTAACAGCAACGACAGTAAGAACACTAGTAATTACTGCAACAACAGCCAACAGCATCCCACTAGTATCAGTCGCTATAAGTAATCAGGATTATAGAAACAGGAATGTCTTGATGACTTGATAGCAGCATGCATTCTCATAATCGTAAGAACACCGTGACCCTTGGCTTCATGTCGCGGGGTCGCGGGGTGGCCCTTGAAACCCCCGAGGCTGCCTGGCAGCTGGGAAGCTGGGGTCGGCTGACGGAAGTCCTCCAGGTAAAGCTTGGGGATGTAGGGCCATGGAGTTTCATCGCTTTCTTGGCTTGTGACTGGTCTGTGTCGGTTTTTTCAGGTACCCACAGGGCTGGAAGGGCTTAGACGGATGCTACAGGGTTTCGCCGGGATTCGTTGGGGGACTGTGGTGTGTGGGGTTTGCGGTTTAGGTATCCCTGAAGGTTCGTGAGTGGTTGCAAGTAGGCGCATCAGCACATGTACCTGTGTCATGCCTGATTACAACGATGGTGATACTGGCTCATCAGTACATGTGCTTGTTTCATGGCTAATATAACCACACTTACTAAACTACATTCTTTGATGCTTTCGGTGGGGTCTTGGAGTTTAAGGTTTAGAGTTCCGGGTTAAGCCGCAGGGTGGAGTGAACATGATCGGCATTATTTTTTCACGCCCAATCTTGCTGTTGCTGCTTCCTGGTATTATTGTTATCATTGCTTTTATTAGCTTTCCTATCGTTTCCTGTGTCCTTTCGAGTAGCCTCAACTCGACTGCCGATGGGCTTTCGGGTATTTTCGGGTGAACGCTTTACTGACTGGGCAGTGTAGGGGTTGACAAAGCTACGGCTTTCGGTTTTCTGCCGCCCCAAGGCCGAAGCTCAACACCACCGGCCCAAAAGCTGGCCATCCAACGAGATGCAGCAGATCCCTGTAGCCAAACACTTTCGACAGAACCTAAGCATGAAAGCGGTAACCGCCTGTAGCCCTCCCCCCGCCGTCCGCTCTGGTATGAACTGCGTTTTGCCAGGAGCCCTCGCCAGACGGGCCGTGCGACTTCCAGGCACTTGTCGTTCACTCGCAACAGAGCAACAAAGGGAAGGACGGCAAATATCGGGGCTTAGGGTGAGTACTGGTACGACTTGCTTTTGGATAGTGGAGGTGACCGGATGATAGTTGATAGCCCGTTCAACATGAAGTGCGAACAGCGGGTGGCTAGAACAAACCTCTCACTAAGTAACTAGTCAGCAGCATGGTTAACTTTGCGCAAAATCGTGCGAAGAGCATTGATCCTGATGCTATTGTATGGCGATGCTTCAAAGCCTTGTCTAGGGGCTCTCTCACTAGTTGCTAGCGTTAACAGCTGTCTAGATTCCCTGCATAGTCAGAGGAGAGCAGAGTTTCGACCCGATGAGATCGCAGGTGAAGCTGGGCAGGGCAGTGCTGGCAGTGCATGAGAGGGACTCTGCAACACTGTCCACAACACTTCGCGAGACAACGCTGGAGGTCGGCCGATGTGAGCTCGTGTTTGTTGGCATTCAAACGATGGTAATGGTTACCATACGCGACCATGCGCGCCTCCGTGACTGCTGTTGCTCTGACTCATTACACGCGTGCAGTCCCGGGAACAGCTTTCGTATTTCGCAGTTGTGACAAACTGAAGTCGCTCGCCTGGGCTTCACGTATCCTTCGAGTGCGATGCTTTCAGCGCACATCCCCTGGTTTGGCATCAAGCGGCAGTCTCGCTATTCCGAGGATCATCAGACATGGGAGCCTATGATTAAAATGGCCAGTTTGGTTAGGGTCGTCAGTCTCTGTGGTCTAGATGCGGTCGTCTGAACTATCTCAAAAGGCACAAAACACAAAGCAGTAAAGCGCCACCCTAAACCCAGAGAGTCCGGAGGTGGCTCGCGCCGCCTCCGCAGCAGCCCGCGAGTCCTACACCCGGGCCTACCAGCACCTCCTGCGCAGAAGCCTCGGAAGACAGAGCAGTGTTATGTGTTTGCTTTGCATGGATTCTGCAAGACTGTTGTGTTAAAGGAATGTGAGGGGTGTTTACATCGGCATCTCACAAGCGAGGGTGTCTAAACTTCTCCACCCTCATGATCGATGAGGCTCCCGGCACCCTAAACGAGGGGCTTGGTCGCTTGAGGTCCTTCCTAGACCTGTCGCAGGGCTGCGAGGATTAGGGCAATTAAGGGTTCGGGCTTTTTGCGCTTGGGTTCTTGAGCACTCGTTGCGCCCATCTTTTTGGTGTCAACACCAGTCAGACTTTCAGACGGCTTGTGCGGTGTGCGGTTCAGAGATAACGCCAACCCCTGAAGCCCTAAATCCCTAAACCCTTACACCCCTGAAACCCGTCTCTCCAAAGCTTTTTCCAGAGCTTAGAACTTTGGGGAGCGCTTGAGGCCTGCACGTGCTCTCCGATATCGACTGGGTGAGCAAGTACCGGGAGGCGGGGCAACCTCGCTGGCGGGAGATATCTTGTTGTGGGGACTGGACTCCACATCTTCGTCAGCCTCGGAGAAATACTGGCATTTGCCCGCGGAGGCGTCGTAACTTACGACACCCAAAGTAACGGCCCAACCCCAAACAAAGACCTGCAGGGCCTCTGCCCGGAGAACACACAAGTGCCGTTCTCAAGGAATGTACGTGACACCCCGTCAAGATCCTAATGCGACGCAAGGTACATCCCATCAGTAAGAGGCCCTCATGGGGTACTTTCCTGGTTCAGGGGAAGTACGATAGCTTTAACTTAAATCATGCAGCTATAGTCCTAACTAAAGTTGTAGCACCTTTATCAGCCTTCGAATATAGAACCGAAATCGCGGGTTCCCTGTTCGAAGAACCTTGAGCTCTCTACAGCCAGTTGTTGGGGTTTAGGGGTCAGGCGGAGAAGACGGGGTCTTGGTAGGGCCGGGAATCCTGCTGCGAACCTAAAGCCGCCACGCTTGGAAGGCACCTTGAGCATCCTATGACAGCCTCGGAGGAAGTTTCCAATCTAAGTCCCTCAACCCTCAGACGCTTCAATGCCTGCTACAAAAGCTCGCGTCGCCGCAGGGCCCCAATTCGAAGCCGGGAGACGTCGCCAAGAATCTCCTCGCCCGCTGCGTGCCGAGCCCAGGGATTCAGATGGTCCAAACGTAGGGCACGCGTTGGCTTCGAAGCTGACGGTTGCAGCGTCGGATTCGCGTGGGTCTCTCCCGCATGTAGTCGCTCCAAGGACATCACGACACCTTCGTTCTCCGTGCGGCAGACACTCCTGAGACCACTCAGCGTTCTTCTCCAGGAGCGGGGATGCGACAGTGAAGTTGTTGCCGCAACATGTCTCAACTTGAGTCTCAACTAAATCGAGATGTGTGGAGACGTGTGTCAGTTCAGGACCTGAAGCTGAAGGAGGATGCGAAGACACTGGAGTTGGCCTTCGCTCGCCTCTGCCTCTCGTCCGTGGCACAAAAGCACCTGTTTCGTTTCGTGCACGCGCGGCCCATGGAGTGTGACGGAGAGTTAAACCTCGTCGCTTTGCTGCTGAGTCCCAGGCCGGAAGCACAAGGAGCACATCTCCATGGAGCATCCCGACACCAGCGCCCACCTTAGAATGCCTTAGCCGCAGCCACGAGTAAGTTGACGTCTGGATACCTCATACTGTAGCGCTCAGGGTGTCCAAGTTCGTTGTCAAGTTGTTTCTTGTCCGGAGGTTTTCAAGGAACCTCGGAACGGCTGCGGCGTGCTGCCCAGATTGAGTGGGGCAAGCGACGTGGCCGCAGGATGTATCAACAGGGTCGCCGGCATGACTATGATCGGCCGGCTCTTGTTATGTTTTTTCTCTACACGTGGCTAGTTCTTGCAATGTTTGAGCAGGCTCCAGGCTTCCCTTATTGTCATCGCTACGTTGTTTTGCATGTTGCTACGGGCTCCACCACATGCGAGCGAACGGGAGCTGCGAGCCCCTCGGCCAGCACCACCATGCGAACATCACGAGTGCGACTAGCGTGCTTAGTAGTGAGTACGCCTTCATGCTCCCCTTGTCGCCGTCGCCTCCATAGGCCCCAAACTCCCACAGCCGAGGATCCTCTATGCCAGCGGGGCCCGCACTGATGCCCTTCGCCACACGACGCTCGGAAGAACTAAACCCTTACACCCAATTCCCTATTTCCTCATCTTAAACGGCCCTAGACCCTGAATGGTCGGAGCCACACCCAAAAGAAAGCGTAAGTTGGAGGCGACTTTGGGCGCAGCACGATGCGAAAGCTCGATTGCTGGGGACTCGTTGGGCACGCGCCTCAGCATGCCCTCGAGGTCGTAAATGGGATTCCGGGTTCATGGCTTGGGTCTTTGGTTTGAGATTTGGTGAGTTTGTGAATGTCGTTCCAGGTTTTGTGGCAATCGGATTTTGGAATCTTGCGGCTTGCGGCTTTTAGGGTTCAGGGATGAGGGGTATACGTGTTACCGATACAGAGTGTTCGGTCCGGGGGTTTGGGCTTGGGGGCAGAGTCCTGAGGACTTTAAGGTTTTGCGTGTTGCAGGTCTCAGGATTCTGGAGTTAAGAGCTTAGGTCAAACCGGCAACTAGGAAATTGAAGGGATCTGCAATAAGCATGCTGCAGCATGCTATGACCCAGAATGTCAGACAGAACTACAGCCGCAATGCTGCCACACCTTGAAAAGGTAAGCCCTGAACCATGAAATCATAAACTACTGCTATCCGGCACATTCGCTCCCCTTTGCATCCGAGCTTCTCAAGAAGCTGCGGCTCAGCTCAGAAGCTCAAGCTTTACGATTTGGTTGCCTTCAGGGCTTTGAGAGCACGAAATACAAAATAGTCTCACTCCGTCAACATTCCCAAACAAACGCTTGAAGTACCAAGAACAGTACTCTCGCACGGTCCCCGTAGATTGTAACATCCCCCAACATCGTAGACAAATTATCCAGACCTCTGTAATACAGCCTGCAGCCCTCAAAACCACAACGGAGAGAGTCAGTGCTTCAACTCTTTTGAAGGCCCTTGCGTCACTGCTCCAATTGGCGACGCCATTCTGGGCTCCAACCCACACAATGATATTGAGGTCTAAGTAAGAACGACTACTTATTCCTCAGGGTACACCTATTATATAGTTATCATATCTTACTTCTACTCTGATATACCTCGCAAAGCTCTATCATAATTTTCAAGGCCCAAATTTCCAAATCCAACTCTCAGGCCCCAACCCCCAAACCCCCCGAAACCCCC